TTTCTCTTTACTGAAGAATACAGATATTCCCCATTCTTTGGTTGAACCTATGATCGATAAGGAAGACATATGTCTGGTGGATAGTGCTACAACACATGCTATACTTAAAAATAAAAAGTATTTTTCTTATTTGATAATAAGAGATGCATATGTCCATACAATATCGGGTTGTACAAAATTAATTGAAGGCTCTGGAAGAGCAACTATTTTATTATCCGGAGGAACGAGATTTATAATGAACGATGCATTATTATCTACTAAGTTTCAAAAGAAATTTATTAAGCTTTAAAGATATTCGTTGTGATAGATATCATGTTGAGACCGCAAATGAGAAAAATATGGAATATTTGTATATCACAGCTTTTAAATTGGGTAAGAAATGTGTTTTGAAAAAGCCATCCATTTTTTCTTCTGGTTTATACTATATAAATATTAATGCAGTTGAGACTCATATTATAGTAAACCAGAAATTTACTGATACAAATAATTTTATTATTGGGCATGATCGGTTAGGCCATCTCAGCTCAAATATGATGCGAAAAATGATTGAGAATTCACATGGACATTCATTAAGGAATCACAAGATTCTTCAATTTAAGGAATTCTCATGGCCGCTTAGTCTCAAGGTAAATTAATTACAAAACCATCACTAGCTAAAATATGGACTGAATCCCTACATTTCTGGAACGTATTCAAGGTGATATATGTGGACCCATTCATCCTCCATGTGGACCATTTAGATATTTTATAGTTTTAATCGATGCATCTACAACATGGTCACATGTATGCTTATTATCAACTCACAATCTGGCATTTGCGAGATTACTTGCTCAAATTATTCGAGCATAATTTTTAGATTACGCGATTAAGGCAATTTATCTTGATAATGTCGATGAATTTATGTCTCAGACTTTTAATGATTATTGTATGGCAATTGGAATAAATATTGAAAAGCTTGTTGCACACGTTCATACACAAAATGGTTTAGCCAAAACATTTATTAAACGCCTCCAACTAATTGCTAGATCATTACTCATAAGAACAAAACTTCTCATCTCTACATGGGGACATGTTATTTTACATGCAGCAACAATCATACGCATTAGGCCAACAAGTTATCATAAATTCTTCCCATTGCAATTAGCTTTTGGTCAAGAACCAAATATTTCTCATTTAAGAATTTTTGAATATGCACGTATAGATCCCAATTGCTCCACCACAATGCATAAAAATGGGTCCTCAAAGAAGGTTGGAAATATATGTTGGATATGAGTCTCCTTCTATTATTAAATAACTTGAACCATTAACCGGAGATTTGTTCACAGCGCGGTTTGCCGATTGTCATTTTGATGAAACATTTTCCCCAACATTAGGGGAGAAAATAAACAATTGAAAAAAGAAATTACATGAAAAATATTATCATTATCTCATTTGGATCCTTGTACAAAGCAATGTGAATTGGAAGTTCAGAAAATAATTCATTTGCAAAATATTACAAATCAACTGCTAGATGCTTTTACTGATTTAAAGAGAGTTACCAAATCTCATATACCAACTGAAAATACTCCATAAGAATTGATATTCCAATAGGACAATTTGTTAGTGGAAATAATAGTAAGTCACGCTGAAGCGTGATAGACCTATCGGTTCTAAGAATAAAAACCACTCGGAAAAGGGAAGGAGAAAATAATCAAGATAGTCATATGGAGGCGGGTGCTCGTAAAGAGACCCAAGACATAACTACTGACAAAACCCCAAAAGAGGTTCAGGTACTTGAAAATAATGAAAAAAATAAAGAGATCTCAATAAGTTATGTCACTACTGGTAAAAGATGGAACTGAAAAGATATAATTGTCGATGATATTTTTCGCATAGAATGTTGCAATTAATATCTCAAAACAAAATGAGGATCTTGAACCTAAATCTGTTGAAGAATGTAGATATCGAAATGATTGGCCAAAATGGAAAGACGCAATTCAAGCAGAATTAAATTCACTTTCAAAGCGTGAAGTTTTTGGACTTATAGTCCAAACACCTAAAGGTGTAATGCCAGTGAGGTATAAGTGGGTATTTTTGTGAAAACGAAATGAAAAAAATAAAATTGTAAGATATAAAGCATGACTTATGGCACAAGATTTTTCGCAAAGACCTGACATTTATTAAGAGGAGACTTATTCTCTTGTGGTGGATGCAACTACTTTTAAGTATATTATTAGTTTGGCAATATATGAGAAACTTGATATGTGTCTAATGGATGTTGTTCCAGCATATTTATATGGATCACTAGATAGTGAAATTTATATGAAAATCCCTGAAGAATTCAAAATGCCTGAAGCATATCAAAATTCCCAGGAAGTTTGTTTAATAAGATTACAAAAATCTTTACATGGACTAATATGATCTGGACGAATATGGTATAATTGTCTTAGTGAATATTTATTGAGAGAAGGTTATAAAAATAACCCAATTTGTCCATATGTCTTTATAAAAAGATCTGGATTAGAGTTTGTTATAATTGATGTGTATGTTGATGATTTAAATATTATTGAAACATCTGAAGAGCTTTAAAATGTAACAAAATACTTGAAGAAAGAATTTGAAATGATAGATCTGGGACAAACAAAATTTTGTCTCGGCTTGCAAATCGAGCATTTAAAAAACGGAATTTTTGTTCACCAATCAACTTATACAGAAAAAGTTTTAAAGTGATTATATATAGATAAAGCACATCCATTAAATACCCCAATGGTTGTAAGATTGCTAAATGTGAGTAAAGATCCATTTCATCCTCAAGAAGATGATGAACATCCATTAAATACCCCAATGGTTGTAAGATTGCTAAATGTGAGTAAAGATCCATTTCATCCTCAAGAAGATGATGAAGAAATTCTTGGTTTTGAAATACCATATTTAGTGCCATTGGAGTGTTAATGTATCTTGTTAATAATACGCGACCTGATATAACATTTGCTGTAAATTTATTAGCAAGATTTAGTTCGTCTCCAACAAGATATTGGAATGGAGTTAAGCATGTACTTCGATATCTTCAAGGGAACAATTGATATGGGATTATTTTATTCAAATAAATTTGGATCATAATTAATTGGTTATGCAGATGCAGGATATTTATCTGATCCACACAAAGCTCGATCTCAAACAGATTATTTGTTCACATGTGGAGGTACAACTATATCATGGTGTTCTACAAAACAAACCTTAACCGCTACCTCTTCAAACCATGCAGAAATAATAGCAATACATGAGGCTAGTCGAGAATGTGTTTGGTTAAGATTGTTGCTCCATCATATCAAGGAAACATATGGTTTGTCTTTAGAGAAAAATGTCCCAAGAATATTGTATGAAGATAATGCAGCATGCATAGCCTAACTAAAATAAGGGTATATCAAAGGAGATAGACGAAACATATATCAACCAAATTTTTCTTCACTCATTATCTTCAAAATAATGGTTATATAAATATTCAACAAATTCATTCAAGTATTAATCTAGCAAATTTATTTACCAAGTCATTACCAACTACAACATTTGAAAAATTGGTATATAGTATTGGTATGAGACGACTCAAAGATATTAAATAATGTCACTATGAGGGGGAGAACATATATTATAAATGATGTTGTACTCTTTTTCCTTCACTAAGTTTTTATCCCATAGGGTTTTTCCTAGTAAGGTTTTAATGAGGCACATTATTTATTAATGGACATCCAAGGGAGAGTATTATAAGTCACATTTTATTAATGGATGTCCATAACTTAAACTTAATAAACTACTTAACTTAATAATCTTATAACTCTTATATTTATTATCTAGTTTAAGTTTTTGTAACCTATAGGCTTTGAGCGCCTATAAGTAGTGATGTGTATATATACAGAAAGATAACAGTGAAAATAAGAATTCTCTCAATTCTCTTAATTCATATTGTAATCTTATAACTCTTACTTCTCCCAATTCTCTCTTGTTCTATTCTCATATTTTTAAGTTTTATAACAATTTTTACAATGATTGACTGATATATTCGTGATAACTTTAATGAAAATATGAACCAAATAAATATTATGTTAATCTTTTTTTTTTTTCACTTTTGTGTCTTTGATAATATTCTCCATTGAATGCTAATTGTTAGTGTTCATGCAATCAATGTTTTTTAAACTGGAAACAAAGATAAGTTTAGATTTTCGTTTCAAGTGATAAAAAATAAAATGTAATATAATGTAACTCTCTATATAAATATATATAAACAGAAACTAATTCGCTTCTTTCTCAAAAAAAAAAAAAAAAAAAAAAAAAAAAAAAAAAAAAAAAAAACAAAAAAAAAAAAAAAAAAAAAAAAAAAAAAAAAAAAAAAAAAAAAAAAAAAATCGCTTATCTATAACAGTATCAAAATACTGAGGTAGGAATGATTTTTAAGGTGCTAAATAGGCAAAAAAAAGATAGTTCTTTAGTTTATATTTTAATTTTAATTTCGATATTAATTGAGTGAACATTAATATTGATATCATTCATAATATTTCATCATTTCAAAATTGGTCTCATTTACTATTTCAATAAAGCTTTTCAATTTTTTTCTAATAATTAATAAAATTAATAATATTACCATTAATAAAAATTTCAAAATCTCTATCCTTATATTATTAGAAATCTGCAATTTATTTATTATGCAAAGTTGAATTAGTAAATACTTTGACATGTCATCTCATTAATATATCTCATAATATGAAGTGGACATGACAAAAAAAGTATCAAAAAAATTTAAACCTAAAATTTATACAAGGTTATTAATAATTGAAAAAATGAAAGATTTGTTCAGTATTACAATAAGCTTATTATTTCAATCATTAATTATTGAAAATATATATCAAAGTTTTCATCAATACAATAAACTTATATGAGATTGTTAATTATTGAATTCCTTTTAAAAAAAAATTATTGAATTCAATTAGAATATACAAATAACTAAAATTTGTATTTGAAGACTTTGGTATGCAATGATAAGAATATATCTACTAAATCTGATACAATATTATTCAAGTTTCTGAAAGTAACATAATAAAACATACGAATTACTATCTAAATACACCGTATACAATTCAAACTTAACATGTAAAAAATTGAAAATCAATATGAATATCAAAATATTGTTCACTTTCTTGATTAACTAACCTTAATTTAATGGTTTCAATTATCTTGAGGCTTACTTTAACATTGAGAATATGAATGGTTCTCTCTACTAAAGAAAACGTACACCACAGTACCATTTTCAAATAGAGAGTAAAATTTTTCAATTTCGACCTTCTCCGCCACAATTAGCGAATTTCATTTAAAATGCAGCCCATAATATTCTTTGCTCCATTTAGGCTCCTATCAAAAAAAAAAAAAAAAAAAAAAAAAAAAAAAAAAAAAACTCAACATCAAATATTCAAGTCTTCAAAAATTTTAATGCATCACAAAATTTGGTGCATTCCAAGAATAAATATAATATATATACTATATATATATAACCAAAATACATCTGCTTTGCACATTCTGACTTTAAAGTCAATGAATTTTGTTTTAACAGTGAGATATGACGTTATAGACCTTCAACAAATAAGATGTTTAACCCGGTAACACAATTAAAAGACCAGTATTAAGTATTCAGTAAAAGACTCCAAAATAATTTGCAAAATCAAATTAAAATATATATATAACAAATACAATCTGCTTTTGCACATTCTGACTTTAAAGTCAATGAATTTTGTTTTTAACAGGAGATATGACGTTAAGACCTTCAAACAAATAAGGATTTAACCCGGTAACACAATTAAAAGACCAGTGATCTAGTATTCAGTAAAAGACTCCAAATAATTGCCAAAATCATTAAAAAGGAAAATAAAATCTATGTTTTAATCTCTAAAACTCTAATTTAATGTCCTGGCCTATGCCAAATATTTCTTGCTGCTAACAAAATAAACAATTAAAAGCACATAACAAACAGTAATTTAAAGGATAAAATTGACATACATTAACAAAGACATTTACCATGAAAAATACACTTGAATTTAGTATAGCTTGATACTATAAATACCACTGCAAAACTGACTAGGGTGATCATGGATCGGTTCGGATCGGATTTATGCAAAATCCATATTCAATCTGCGAAGATTTTCATATATCCATATCCATTCCATAGATCGGATATTATCCGTTTTTTATTATATTTGAAAATAACAAAAACATTCAAATTAATTTAATAAAAATTCATATTATTTATCCTGCTCGAAAACACAAAAATTCCCAAGAATAATTGGAAATATTGTATGCTATGACAACTAAAAGAGGCTTTAATAATTGTTAAGCGCAAAACAATTCAGGCTATTGAATGTAATGTTCAACTTATATTCTTTTATTTGATATAGAAACTTAAAAAAAAAAAAATGGAAATGATGGAGTTAGATAATGGTTTAAAATATTAATGAAAAAGAAAGAAGAAAAGGATAACCGCAACTGCACATCTAAAATTTCAATCAACAATTTAGAAATACAAGAAAAAGGCAAAATTACCTTTTACAAATCGAATTTGAATAGGAGTATGTCATATTCATATCCGATACAAATATGCGTCATATCCAATCCACAACTAAATGGATCGGATTTTATTCGTTTCATTCAGATCGAATCGAATATCCACCAGATTGGATCATTTAATCATCCCTATTCTCGACCATAATAAGGAAACTAAGGAATCGTTTGTCTAGTTTAGTGACAGCTTATTAAACCTCCAACTTATCCATTTAGATAATGGATAATAATAAATAAGTTTGTTTGTCCGAGCTAAATCAATAAGTTACTTATCTAAATTTTCAAGTTAAATTTTGTCTCAATGAAAAAAACCTTTTTTTAGAGCTGATTCAATAAGTTACTTAACTTATATTAATGAAAAATAAAATTGCCCTTATAATTATAAAATAACCACCATATACCGCTTTTTAATCATTCAACAATCAGTTCTTGATACTATTTGTTTTTAATTACTCAGCTTAATAAGATAGTGAATCAAATTCAGTATTCAGAATTCTGAATCAAGTATGCAAGAAGCTGGCTCTAAGTACGCATTGCTCTTCCCCTAAACAAAAATTCGAAAAGATCTCAAATATGCAAACATTGTAAGCAGCGAGACAAGTATCAAGCCCTAGAAGCAATTCTGCCAGTTGGATTCAAGACCTTTTTAGACATGGAAGTTGATGAAATTATACTGCAGATAATTACTCCTTTTGAGTAAAAGAACTGAATTTTTCCAAAAATTTTTAATCTCTCTCATTTTGAAGGTCGCATGCCAAAACTTTTCATGCCAACCAACTTGCAGAACAATGAAAGCAGCAAGCTAGAAAGAGTCTAGTGATTACCATTTCAGCTCGTTTGGCATTTGTTCTCTTAGGTGAGCTCTTCCGCCAGAATTAACTTGTTATAACCTCCTTGAGGGAAAGAACATCATCACGTGGATGAGCCTCTTCTATTTGAACTTGTATTTCATCTCCTACATGTCTTCCAACAGACACCCATGCAGATGCTTGAAACCCAACCTGCAACATTAGGTGATTGGTCTCTTCAATCAAACTATGTGCTATACAAACAATATTCAAGCCTTCGTATGATGCATAATTAAGGCCTGTCCAGCTTATCATGTGAACAATAAATAATATTAAACCAAATAATAAAATTTTATTGATCACACATGCATACAAATAATGCCTTAAAAGGAAATCATTGCATTAAGTTGAATATATACTGGGCATCAAAGTTGCCCTAGAAGTTTTCATGTATAATTTGTCATATTTTACAATAATTCATTAGAACAAAAATGGCATATTTGTCAACTAAAAGAATTAATTATGCATGTGCATTGTGTACGTCATATTTATTTTATTTATGATCTAAATATTACAAAGATGAAATTTTATAACTAATTAATCTTGATCGTACTTGATCTGAATAAAATTAAAATCACATACACACAAAGTGCAAAAATTAAGATAGAGATCGCATAGAGCGCAAATATACATATATATACACACAGACACACTACAAATTTATGGAGAAACTATTTTCTAGATTCATTACCAATCAAATTTAACAATGTAAGAGGTACGTTTATGTGGGGAAAAAAAAGATCCTATTTATTAATTCTAAACTTAGAAAATCTTATAATTGCAAAGATTAAAAGTTAAAATAAAAAATCAAGATGCATTTTTAATGAACATGCTGGAAATGAGCATCCATTTGGGAAAATAAGTCCACTTCTGAAAACTGTTCTATTATTATTGCATTTCTAATATTTTTGGAATGGGTGAGAAAACTGCAAATCAAATTTTCAAACCCTTCTAAATATGATCGATTAACTAATCATGAAAGTTCTGAAAAGGCATAGCAACACAAAAAAAGGACAGATGAGAGCAAATTGAAATAAGAGGGAGGGAGGGGGAGGGGCAGAAAAGGAGAAATAGTTGATGACAGCATATTTTGTGTTTTTCATTATTCTTTCCCCTTAACAGTTCATGCTTGCAGCTTACCTCAACTAGCAGCAAGGCTGCAAACCGATCTTTGATGAATTTAAGGACGAGTGCACGAAATCTTCTCTCCTTTGGCTGCCTTCTCAAGAATTCTATTATCCAATAGCGAAGACTGCTGCTGCAAAGCCTCCTTATTAGTCTAGTTTGCATGTTAACTATTGATGCTATCCCTTCCAGCTGGCCAGCTGAGAAAGGAGGAGATTCACCTCTAAGCACAGCCTTGACCTATATCCAAGCAATACTCATTAATTGGTTTTCTTTCTTGGCAGAGATAGCACAACCTCAAGGTAGACTGGTTTAATGTCAGGTGTAGACTCATACAGATAGGTCTGTGGGGTGGATAAGGAAGATGGTGGTAAAGCAAAACTTAAAAAGAAAACTGCCAATAATTTACTTCAAGATTTACATATCATGACAGTTCATTGACATGAACAGAAGAAACACACCTGATAATGAGCAAGAAGATCCATATATCTACGAATAGGAGAAGTAAACTGAACATAACCAGGAAGACCCAAAATCCCATGGCGTAAAGGTGTCCGAAAATCAAATTCAGCAGCACGCATTATTTTAACAATTGCAGCACTTCTAACAGGTCCTTCAGGGAGGTGTGCAAATGCAGATACATCAATATTTGATTGGGGTTGTCCTCTATATGGTAAAGGAATGTTGTTGCAAGAGCCATATGTGGCTATAACTTCCCCACATAGTATCATCATTTCAGAGACAAGTCGCATTGCAGGGTCAGCTTGGTTTTCAACATATATGTTAATTGATCCCTCTGGATCTTCTGGATTAGCCACCTTGATGCGAGTTTCCAATGTGGCTGTGTCAACCGCACCCTGAAAAATGAAAAGTTCTTAGTTTTTCTTTCTTTATTTGGTGTTTGGGGTATGTGCTAAATGAATTTCATAAGAGAAAGATGAAATCACAAGCCATGAGCATGTCCACTAATATCAATTCAAGTCATCATAGAACTTTTGAGGATCCAAAATCATACACTTCCTATCTCAATAAAAGATTTAGGACATCTGCTATAAAATTTTTTGACCTGAATTATGCTTAATCAGAGTGTTCCAATGAAATGAAATGTGAAAATGATAATATTTTAATGAACTTCTCTTCGCATTTCAGAAGCAATAAAACAAAATCAAGTACAAAAACTGTTTTAGGGACTAGTTACATGGAGTTGGTTTATGAGATGTCAATTGTGGATAGGTTATAATTCTTACAAGACATTTTGGAAGTTTGTGGAGTTAATGCAAACCTCAATGCAGAAACACAATAAATGAGAAATTATTAGCTCAGATTAATGTATCAAATGCTCAAATTCACATGGGACCCATGCATAAATTCTGAGAATAATTTCTTCATAAACAGGGAAAATTTTCACATAAAGCCAGTATTCTTAGTAGCACATACATGTAGGTTATGTATTTGTTTTATCATTGTACTTTTTACAACTGTTATTTCCCTAATCTATATCTGCAGCTAAAGTGAAATCATCAATATTTAAAGACATATTTTGCAAGGAAACTGTGGTAGTGAAACCATATCACAAATTGCCAGTCATGTTAACAAAACTACAGAAACAAGAATCTATAAAAATGCAATTCATTCGTGAAGGCTGTCTAGTATAATAGAAGAAAAATAAATAGACAATTTAATTGTACTCTAAGCCACAAAATATTGTCCTCCACTTAATTTGATTTATGTATTAAGGCAATCAAGACCAACCTGTTGGCAACGCCATTGTAACCGAAGAGCAGCAGCCTCAGAAAGAATTCTTAATTCAGCCTCCTCTTCAAGGTTCAAATGAAGCAACTCGGAGGCACTCTCGTATGTCAGCATATAGGTTGGCTTAATAATAGAGTTATCCACAGAGTATTCTGCAATACTATTGCACCCATAAATTATGAAATAGTCTCAAGTAATAATAAACCCAATATTTTACAGGCTTTTAAATTTCATATCATGTGCATGGTAAGGGTAAATGCCGATGATTAATGCTGTGACAAACTACAGCAACTGATAACTATGAGAAATCCTCTTCACCAAAGTTCTAATAGCTGAATGATAGTAGCATACAATTATCACCAATTGTTTTTGGACCCCCAACATATCTATAAATCTAGAGAGCTCCTAAAACATTCTTAAATGGTTTTAAAAGATGAAAATGAAAAGCCTGGCGAAGATTCAAATATCCGAGTGTAAAAATGGCAAACCACATAATTTTTACAGAAAATCAACAAGATTCCAAGAAGTTTCTAATCATGACAAAAGTAACAAAGAGAAAAAAAAAAGGTGTAACACAACAAAAAAACCTGTTCAAGAAACAATCTTCACTGATAAAAAGAAAACAAACATATCATATTCTGAAATTTTAAATTCATTCCTAAAATGGCAACCAAGAAACTTCCCAATCTGAGACAAATGAAATCTTCAAATCTCTTCCAAAACCCAACATCACTTCAGAAAGGAAACTTCTGACAATCTTAACAACTGCCGAGCAAGCATCTCCTTCTGAAGAACAAAATTCGGGCATCGGTAATAAAATGAGGGTGGATTCTTTGTTACAACAAGGACAATAAATCTATAATCTAAAATATATATAGAAGAGGTAATGGAGAGAGGGAACATTTAGATGGACAAAACGCCCCTTATTAATTTTTATGACGGCAATAAAGGACTAATATTTACTTTAACACAATTTGAATTCCTAATATATATGTTTATAATTTTAAAAATTAGTAATAAACTAGAAATCTATCATTGGAAAGCATAGGGTTTTAAAATATTAGGATCATTTAATTTTTACGAAATAATTGTGTTCTCACAAGGATAAAGAAGTAGGTTTTGGATCATAATTAACTAAAAAACGGAGACTCAATTATTTGTATACTTTAACCATAAAAATTACTTTCATCAAGCAAATAGATTAAAGAACCCATACATCAAATCTTGAGTTTAATTTTATATTAAAATAAATATCATTGATGTAGTATATATTATGCTTAAAACAATAAATATATCATTCTATTTTAACTTTATGCAAAAAGTTTATTCAACAACATTCCTACATTTAGGGATATTATTATAGTTTAGACAATTAAAATAACATGTATGAATCCATTATGATTTAATATGTAATTATTATGACAAAAACATTCAATATTAAAATAAATAATAAAAAAAATCTAATCCATCCTATCACGGAAGAATTTTTATTATTCTATTTGATATGGAAGTGTCTTGGTCTATAATATTAGAAATTAATCATGACAATCCAACAAAATACCACCATAACTTTGTGAGAGGGGGAGCCTCCTCACTAAAAGGGGTTGCAGTGACCAAGCCCAAGCAACTTACTAAAAGCACAGGTCTCTACAAAGCCATAAGACCATGTATGGGGCTAACGCCTACTCAATGCCGAAAAGTCAATGAAGTATTAAACCCTAATCAATATGAGAATTTAATAAAATCTTGAAATTGAAGATTATCATTTTTTCTTATACCTCTACCTTCCTCTCTCATATCTTTTCCTCAAAAATCATATTATGGATCCTTACAAGGTACCCAAATCATAAGTTTGTGTATTTATTCTTAACCCAATTAAAATTGATGATGCTCAATTAGCCATTGTATTTTCTATAATTCAATATCTCATTATGTCCTTGGGTTTTAGTAACGTAAACGGTCTATAATGTTATATCTTACACACAATAAATAAATAGAAAATTAACATAAAAAATTCTCTTACCAGTACATACAAGTAAATATCAACAAGTACTAATAATGCAAAACACATGTTCAGAAAAACAAGCAATTAGAAATATGGGAAAGATATAATTACTTGAGAGCAATTTTGTTGATGCAACTCAAGCATTTGGAATACCTCAACATTTAACTAACATTGAAGTATTAAACCCTCTGGAACTGATGAAAAACCAGTAACTAGATAACATAATGATTTAAGTGACGCATAACACTTCTAATGAATACTACAAAGTAAAATTGCTAATTTTGAAACCAGGGCGAACTGCACGTTATGGCAAATCTCATGAATTTTTTCTTTAGTAATTTACTCTGAACAAAATCATAAGCCTTTTGACAATCCACTAGCAAGGATATATCCAACTTATGAGACATGGAAAATACCCATATTATGTCAATGTGGGATCCTGAATGCCAATATGCTGCCCACATTCCTGAAGTTCTACAGAAATAGATACAAACTAAAATGCATACAATGAACATCCTTAATAAATAACACATCCAGGAAATAGTGTTTACCATCCATCAGAATGTAGAACCACAGATATTGAAACAGCCTTGCAGAGCTCTCCTTGTTTCAAACTCATTCCCTCCATAGCAAGTTTCTCTGGAAACATTGGATAAGTAGCTGTAGGCAAGAAAACAGAAGTTCCTCTTTTCAGTGCCTCCCTGCATATTACAAAATATAGCTGAAATCATTTTAAAAACTGAGATAGAATGAAACATTATATCTGTGCGATGGAATCCTCAGTAAAACCTGTCTATTGGGCTTCCAGGTAGCACATATCGAGCTGGATCTGCAACGTGTATCCAAATTTTGATCCGACCATCCTGTAACCTTGTTGCACTCAGGGCATCATCAAGCTACATTAAATCAAGAGCAATAGCATTAACAGGCCAACAGACAACATAATCCAATAAATAGCATTGATATCAAATAAAACTCACTGGCATTTACCTCATCAGCCTCATCAACATCAATAGCATAGACCTTCAAGTGAGTGAGATCTTGTCTGTTGATCTGAATACCACAAATGAAAAATACGCAAGTAGCAACAAGAGTCTCAGACAAATAGTAAAAGTACTCATAAAATAAAATCACTGTGTTGTTTTCTTAAACTTAGTCTAGACAAATTTTACATTCCTTGCTTCAAAATCAACACATATAATATCTCAAACATGCCTTCCAACAAGAAGCATACCTTGTCCAGGTCATCTGATGCTGACAGAAGATTTTCAGCAGCTGTTATAATCTCATCTGAATGATCAGTACGAATGTTTAACTTCAACATATCAAGATTAAGATGGAAGGGAAAATATCCAATATCTATGAGGAGGTTTACAGCAGAGGATGCTGTTTTTGCCATTCCCATTGCCTTCAGGATCTGAAAAAGAATAAGCATATCATACAGAGTACAGAAAACAGCAGCAAATCCAGTTTGTATGCGACATATATTGGATCAATCACAAAAAATGCTACATGCATTCAAGAAATATTATCATATTTTCAGTCCTTTCTTAGACTAAAATCTTCTGGAAAACTTGGAGGAGATTTCACCTCAATCAGCATTGTTTATTTAGCAAAGCTGAAGCATAAGTCCCACAACAAGATTCAAAATAAATCAAGTTAAACAAGTTACCATTCCTGCAGTTTTCCTTTGATCATCATTTTTGCATGCATCAATAGCATATGCTTCAAGAGACTCAATTTTGCGCTGGATTTTCTCTTCAACCATCCATGAAGATTTGGAAGGTTTAGCATTTGAAGGCATTGTCCTAGCAGATGTTAGTAGTTTGACAAACTCCTGAAGATCTTTCTCAGAAGCCTCCTTTGCAAGCTTCCTGCGCATAAGTTCTTCTACCTAGTTTTTCAATTTCACATTATCACTGAACAAAGTGAAATAAAAATGTGATAATTATATAATTATTGTCTGAACTTTGTCAATTTTTCTACTTTGGTGTCTAAACTTTATTTTTCATCAACTGAATACATATACAAAGAAGTTGTTTTCAATTAAGTGCATTTGGCCGGATTATTGCCTGAAAATCGAAGTAAACAATTTTACTCAATAAATATCAAACATAAACATTCATTCAATCATTAACTTTTTATCGTCTTATGTCTCTTCTTTTCAAAAAAAATCAATATATATGTATATATATAGCAAAAAGATGCAAAACATTTACCTGTGTAGTAGGTCGAGGTCCATAAAGAGAACGAGAGCCTTTTGTCTCAAGAACTGTGAAATATATTTCATCTTTTGAAAGCAAAAGATGTGCACAATAACTCTCAAGAGGCTCCGCAATACCAAAGATCATCTGCAGAGTAAGTTAGAATCATTAAAGAAGCAAATAGACAAACAACTCAAAAAGTCTTAATCAGGTACCTCTGCTAATTCCTCGGGGGTCACTGACTTATTCTTTTCAAGAAGCTCAACCCAAGCAAACTCTAGTAGTGATGGGTCCTGAACCATTTTTATAGACATTGAATTTATCAAAAAAAAAAAAAAAGAACTCAATATGGCTTGATATAGCCCTCATTATGCAAGAAGAACCAACCAAGTTATCTTGTGCTTTTTGGATAAAGCTTGAGATCTCTGTGTGATCAAAGTTTTCAACGCCTGGAACAATATATGTAACTTGTTGCGGTTTAATAGAGGACATCCCCCCATTCTGCCATAAAAAATTAAAGAAAAACAACACTTAGACCAAATAAAACCAGATTGCTTTTTAAGCAGATAAGAAAAAGAAACACCAAGTTCCAACACCTAGCAACCTATTCAACATGCCGCATTAGTTGTTTCTACTAGAACCTGATCATACACCATCCAGTTCTTCTTTCCATCAGGTCTCTGAGCTACTGCCAGCAGTACCCTGTCAGCATCTTTCTTGAACTCCAGCAACAGTCCTTTCTCAAGTGGCTGGTTTACCAGCTTATCATGCAGAAGCTCTCCACTGCTGGTTAATCTGCATATTCACTTAGCTATAAATCTATCCCACTAAATTCAATTATAAGATGTATATAACCCATCATCCACCTCAGTGTAGGTCCAGTGGGTTCACAGAGATTCAATATTATGCTTCAGCATTGTCTTCAGACTTGAACAACAGTGTGGAACATAGATAAACTTTAACTAGATTGAGTGGCAGAAATGAGATTTTTCCTAAGAACAATAAGAAATCATTTTCTTCCATCAAAGATGCTTTGCAATAAAGAAGTAAAATATCGCTAAACTCGTTATTTCCTGCTTAACTAATACCAATTCGGATTTGAACAGTAAGGAACATTACAATGGGTTACCGAATAAAGAGTTAATCATCCAACATCCCATGACAACCTATATGCAATCTAGCAAACCTACTCTAATTGCACTCTGCCATCTCCCAAACAATGAAAAGCTGTTAATTAAAGCGGTTTCATTTTCCTACACCTAGTATGTAATCAGCTTGAGGAAACCATAACAGACAATCTTAGGCCTTAATGTCACTTCATCCCTCACTAATAATTAATAAGAATAAATTCACGTTTTCTCTACAGTAATGAAATTAACAATAATAACAAGATACCAATAATGAAAGATGGAAAAGCATGAAACTGAAACGTACTTAATAGCTGAGCGAATTCTCTTGCGTTTGCGAAGAGCTTCAAGCTCTTCCATGACACTATCGACGAGACTGTGAATCGAACGGCTTCTAAGAATGCCATGACTGCAAAACGGCAAGTCACATGGAAGTACCTGCGGCGGAAATCCAAAATTGGAGTGTCGGGCGAACTTTAAGGTCTTGAAATGGCTAAGGTGGCATCTAAGCAAAAAGAGAGGAGGCGAGGAAGCAGAACGAAGGATAGAACAAGTGTTAACAACTCGAACCGCCATCATCTTCTAGTGAAAGGAAGAGATAGGGTTTGAATTCATGTGGCAAGAGAGACGGAGATGGAGAAGAAGTAGAGAGACGATTTTGGTGTCTTAAGAGCTGAAAGTATGAGACATAAAAAATTTAACGGTGAAGAAAAACCGTCACCGGCCTAATTGACTATTGTAAAATAAAATGTGGAAATGATTGCGCCAGCAAAAAGAAAAAAAAAGAAACGCACTGGATAGGGTGAAAGAAAAGGTTTAATAAGGTAAGGTAAAATAAGTTGAAATAATCATTTCTTTTTATCCTCTGAGAAATATAAGATAAGGTATAGTATAGTGGGAAAGTTTAATATTACCTTTCAAAACACCAGCTATGGGAGGCAGCAATCTAGCATTAGAAATCACAGCAACATGTAAAAGAGCAGTAAAAGGGCTGGAAATGGAAGTAGTGTAAACAAAAGACACAGTAGTGTAAACAACGTCGAGCAAAAGACACAGTAGTGTAAACAAATCTATCCACATTATTTCAATCATATGCATTTCGAGCATTCCATATATTCCAAGCAAGCACACACACTTCTTCAAGAACCCCGGTATTCAAGCCCAGAAAAGATGAAAAAACATCATAAAAAGAGTTTAAATTCTGACCCATGGCTAGTTTCCCATCGTACTGCCAGCACAGCTTAGCATTAGAACTGTCAAAAATTACATGGCAAGGGGTCTCCACTTCATGACAGAAAGGACAAGAAGAAGAAATAGCCACACCTCTAGCACCAAGTCTTGCACTTGTAAGAAGGACATCACGACATGCTCGCCAGATAAATATTGCCATCTTGGCTGAAATTTTTAAGGGCCAAATGGGCTTCCAAAGAGAGCCTGAAGGGTAAGTAACTGGTGGGAGAGACTGTTGTACACATAAATGGTAACCTGATTGTATCGAGTAATGACCATTGGAGGTCCAATGCCAAACCCATCTGTCCAACCCTCTGTCAAAATATAAGGGGATTGAGAAAATAGTACGAGCCTTCTGGAAGAAAAAGCCGAGGACTAACATCTCATTCCATTCCCCTGTTTGATCTTTCAAATCGGCCATAGTCAAGTCTTCAAAGCCAGAAACAATCAAAGAAAAAACATAAAAAGAACTATCCATTGATAGCCAAGGATCATGCCAGACATTAACTGAAGAATCAGAAATCAATTGCCAACGAGCATATAACCGCAGAACTGCTTTAACCTCCATAAGACCCCTCCAAATAAAGCTTGAAGGATCATGCCAGACATTAACTGAAGAATCAGAAATCAATTGCCAACGAGCATATAACCGCAGAACTGCTTTAACCTCCATAAGACCCCTCCAAATAAAGCTTGGATTTCACCCCAAATGAACTTCCAGAAAGCCCACTCTAAGAAAGTATTTTGCTTTGAGAATAGAGAAAAGAAGAGTGTTATGGCAAGTTAGGAAGCGCCAACCTTGCTTAGCAATAAGAGCTAAATTAGAACTGCGAGATTTCTGAATCCAAGAACCCCGGCCTCTTTGCTCCAGCACATATTATCCCATGAAAGCCAATGGATACAACGATCACCATCTTTTTTTGAACCCCACCAGAAGGAGTTCGTCATCTTCTGAAGCTCATCACATGAAGATAATGGGAGGAGAAAAACACTCATACAATAAGCAGGGATAGCCTGTGCAACAGACTTAAGAAGAACCGCTTTCCCTCCCTTAGATAAAAGCTTTTGATGCCATTAATTCGTGAGCGCATACGATCACGCAAAAAGAAAAGACAGCCTTTTTATTTTTACCAATGAGAGACGGCAAGTCCAAATATCGTCCATGATTAAGCGAATGATGCACAATCAGGATATCAGAAATTCGAGCACATCTAGCATTTGAAACATTAGAACACGAAAAATATTAGAACAAACATTACTTATATCAAACTTACATTAGAGTTGAAAAAAATACCATATTTTTTATAATTTATAAATGTTTTTTTTATTACATTGTTATTCTAAAATATTTTGTTTTGCTCTAATATTTAGAAATACATTTTGTCAATAATCCTTCTTCTAATGATAGAAAGGATCCTCTGATCCTGAACCGATTTTACCTTGGATAAGAAAAAACCATCATTTACGAGCAATATATGATCAGCACTCGGACATTTATGACTCATTATGACTATCCAAATACCCTTTCGCTTCCGCATTTTTAAATAAAATTGATAGAGTCTCTGTACTGTTTCTGCACCATTAACATCAATAGTATCCACAATTGAAGTGACACATAGCATTATAATATCAACCCGAGAATAAAAGAAACCTAATATCAACATCTAGCGAGAACCTCAATCAACATTGTCATAACTTGATGAAGTGAGATAGTTGTACTAAAATCATTATTAATTTCAAGCCCTAAAGAGGGAGATGGGGGTGACGAAAATCATTTTCATTAACTATAGATTTTGAGTTCAAGCCCCAGATTTACAGTATCTTTAAACACTTGGAAAAGAGTATCTTGTCCATTTTTTGTAAACTTGCTCAACAAGAGTCCGAATTATTCGGCCTATAGACTTCAGGTACTGAACGATTTAATACTTAAAAAAAATATTGTTTCAATTGGTGGTTAAATTACAAGACAAAAAATTGCTCATTTTGTCCATTAGGAAGTAATTAGTAAGCAAAATAATAAACATTTTTTTTTTAAATTCTAGCAAATGAAGTAATTATTTCAATAAAAAAATTTAAGTAATCAAATGATTTTTTCACAAATATATTATGAGATTCCATTTGAGCAGCTTGTTCGCTCAACTCAAGGAATAACTCACAAAAAAAAAAGCGTATTTTAATTACTTTTTCTTTAAAAAATGTAGAGTTGCCGCCTTTGATTCAATTCTAAAGAAGGCTCCTTTTATTTCCGTAAAATAAATTGTAGAAAAATAATTTTCTGAAAAATATTTTTTATGAAAAACATTTTCCTTGAAAAATATTTTCTAAATGACTTATTTTCCGTTATTTGATTATAATATTGAAAATTAATTACAAATATTAAAAATTTTTTATTTCATAAGACCATAAAAAATATTAATAATAATAGAAATTTTATTGTTAAATATGAAAAGAATGCAAAAAATATATATAAATTATGAAAGATTTTATTGTTAAATATGAAAAAGAATAATATGAAAAGAATGCAAAAAATATATATAAATTATGAAAGCCACCGGTGATAAATAGTGACTGATAGTAGTGACTACGATGATTAATAAATTAAAAAATATAGATTTAAAATGTTTATCAATTTCTGAAAAATATTTTACTTTCTCTCGAGAATGTTGATCTTGACCGGAATTATTTGTCAAAAAAAGTGCACGGATCAATATATAAGGACAATAAACTGTTTCTTGTTAACTTGAAGGACAAATGAAAACTAACCTAAATCTCGTGCTTCTTTGGTTTTTTTTTTTTATTTTTTATTTTTTATTAGTAACCTTACATCGTCATCATTATTTTATTAGTTAACTTTTTCCCACTAATTTGATTACAAAATTTTGAGAAAATAAAATACCCATCGTTTTCTTTGTCTCTTTTTTTTTTTTTTTTTCCTCTTTTTTTTTTTTTTTTTCCTAAACCGAATTCCTCTCCTATCTTTTATTTATTTTTCTTTCCTATCAAATTCTCTAAACTAAAGAAATGAAATATTTCTTATGTACCATAAAAAGCGAGAAAAAAAACACGACAATAATTTTTTTTTAAAAAGTCATTAGGTATCAAATGGCGTTTGAGAGCGCAGAGGGAAGAATAAATATTGTCAAAGTCTGCAATCGGCACTCAGAAAAGATGAAAATTGAAAGTTGGAAACAAAAAGCTCAATTGAATTAATTTCAATAATTTCATTCTCAAAAAAAAAAAAAAAAAAAAAAAAAAAAAAAAAGAAATTATCAGAATCCACTTGAGACTCAAGAGCCAGGAACAACTGGTGGACGTTGCGATGCATCCTTGAAGGTCCAGCCATGCATGTAGAAGATAAAAGATCAAAATACTCCAAAATTATGGACCCGAAAAAAAAAAAAAAAAAAAAAAAGGAATTATCAGAATCACTTGAGATCAAGAGCAGGAACAACTGGTGGACTTGGATGGCATCCTGAAGTCAGCCATGCATGTAGAAGAAATAAAAAGATCAAATACTCCAAAATTATGACGATGCTGTAATAATTACACAAGAAATCAAGGAACAGCACGTCCATCCACGTCATTATTTACAAAAATCAACGGCAGAGCTGAGTACACAGTCCCTGGATCTGAGAATTCGTGTCACCTGACAATATGTAGAAGCTGGATTTTCCATTGGTTGTGCATGTCAAATTTAGCTGATTGCCCATCTGAGAAGACTGCAATAACAACACATTTAAAACATCAAATTCACAGCATTAAACCCATATTGTAGTGTCAGGAGCTACTTCCAATCAGTATGAACATCATTGATATACTGTACAAACAAGTCTATGGGGTTCAAACTCGCAGCCTCATAGTTCTGAAAATGATGCCTCCAGTGCCGTTGAGCCAAAGCTCATTGGTCGAGTTCAGGCGAGTTACTTGTTCATGTTTGCGCCTCTTGTTAACTTTATATACTACTGATTGAACTAGTAGTAATCAGCTACTGAACCATTCATGATAAACACAAGAATATAAACTACGAGAGTTTCACAAAATAGGAATGTACCAATATGTTATAAAATATCCTTGATCAGACACATCAAACCCTTCTTGTTTTTCTTCTTCCATTATTAACTTACTAGACTGAAGTCAATCATTTCTTGTCAGAAGAAAATAGAAATGTGCATCTAACTAGCCTTCAGCAAGACACCACCACCAGAACTAAGCATCTTTGATAGCAGTGGTAACTAACCAGCTGTCATCAACACTTAAGGGTTTGACCCAATGAAGAAAGAATCCCCTTTGTGAAGAGAAGGATGTGGGGTGTAATTTCTCAGGATACCAACTTTATTAAGGTCTTACCCAAATCCATTTTTAAATAAAAATTTGGAATTTCATAACAATAAGTCTAGTTTGAAAAAATAAGTGCAAGTTAACTAGCACATTGTGCAGTTGCTTCTCTGAAAAAGAAGTTAGCAGCCTCGTACCCAATTTATATATAGCCTAGCAAACTCTCAGCATCCTCTGGAATGAATACTTTTGATACTTTATTTATCTTTTAGATGGAGGATCTTATTCCTCCATTATCAATAAATGAAACGTGGTATTGACTTGGTCAGTCACCACCTCAGCCTAGGTATCAAAAGTGGTTTACTTTTGACAAAGATGACTTGAACAACTAAACAAACAATGACTAATAGGTTTGACCTGGCCAATTTTGTACACAATGTAAGACTGCTAAAAAACTCGAGACAGTTGCTTCTGTCCAAATAAATTAGTACGAGTCTTTTGGGGTTTGCAGAATCAATATTGCCCCATAAGGATGCATTGGCTAAAGAATACCATAAAAACCCAATCCACTTTGAATTGTAACGTGCATATGGTTATATCATTCAGGCACTTAGTAATTAAACCAGCCTCTTTAATCCAATGAACAACTGGTACAGTTATGAAGAAGGAAATGATACAGCTCTAATGTAGGACTAAACTCACTGAAACGCAAGCACATGGTGTGGGTTGGGGAAAGGCAAGGAGCAGTTACACTCTAACAGAACTTACCAAGCAGGAAGCAGGCTCAGTGTTGCAGCTCCACCTTGCAGTAGGTATACAAGACAAATAATGACACCATGAACAATGGTCATTCGCATCAACTCCCCGGAGAAGCATTATCAGTCCAATAGTAAACCTGTCAAAGTTAGCTCAGTTTCTAAGGTTTGAAACAGAATTCAGATGCCACCATATGCATGCCAACACTGAAAAGTAGAACTAGTGAAAACAAGAATGGACAAAAGATATGGGAAGAATTATCAAATGAACCGTGAAATAGCAATTTTTCTGTATAAAGGAATTTACTTAATTTCATCAAATATTCGACCATTAACATTAGAATGTCCTTTTTCTTTTCCATTCCTTAAAAAAATTGTTCTAGGACTTATCTAAAAAGGGAACAAAATTGTCTGAACATAAAAGACGAACCAAAGATGCTTACCCAACAATGATGATGACAAGAGAAATTATCCACAATATGCACTGATATGTCTTGAATTTAGATTTAGCTGATGCTGGAGTATATCCATGAGGAGTGTATCTTTGGCTAACCCATCCAAACTGTGGGCGGATCAGAAATACAAACCCAAGAAAGAAACCAGAAAGAAATCCTCCAATATGGGCAAAGTTGTCAACATGTGGTAGAATCCCCACTGCTAAATTAATCACAATGATGACCAGGAGTGTAGTGAAAGCTGCTACCTGAACTTGCACATGGAATTGATAATTGAGATCGTGTAAGTCTCCAGTAAAAGACTACTATTTTTTGTTAAAAAAAAGGTCAGAAGTAACATAGAATGCACCTTATTAGAATATATTGACCAATTAGTGATGAGTTCTGATAGCATGCCCCCAAGCAGCCCAAAAAGGGCACCAGAAGCACCAACAGATATATTTAATTGGATGAAAAGGGCTGACAACAAACTCCCACCAAATCCAGATATGACATATAGCAATCCAATTTTAACTGTAAAGCACCAAACAAGAATGCACCAAAACTATTAATCTAAAATGGTGTCAAAATTTATCATAAGCATGCTTTTCTTTTTTTAATTCTGTAGCGGATTGAAATTTAGCAATAACCATGGTGATACACTGAAAGAGTTCCTACATAGTGTAGCTTGAAAGGTATCTCAGGCCACATAACATACCTACAGCTTATGGTTATGGGTCAACAGATTCGCCGTTTATGTGATGGGCAGCAAGAAAGAAAGTAATAGATTCAAAAGAAAACTATTTGGAACAAGCAGCCCAAAATAAGAACTAAAATCTCTTAACCAGAAAAATAAAAAGGAGGGAAAAAATTACCATTATACGATATAGATATGTCTAGGAAGACAACTAAAATAGAAAAATCAAGAAGGGACAAAATGAAAAGGAAATAACATGTGGCAACATTACAAACCACAATGTATAAGCCTAGGAGGTTAGTAGCGATAATGCAAAACCAGTGCAAATGATAATTTGGTGGTAGCCTATAGCTCAAAATAATTGAGGAATTAGACACACAGAAAACATAAACTGACATTGAATGAAGACATATAATATTGTGGTTTTAAATAGCAATACGCTTTAGATATTCAGAAGACAGCAAATCAAAAGATATGCTAAATCTGCATGAAGATTAAATTTATTTGTCCCCTTCTCATGCTTAAACTTCCACATTTGCATTTCCACTCAGTGAGGATGTATTTGACTCAAGTTAATACAAACCACTGTTTGAACTTAATTGAGCTTTTATTTTTCATAACTGAAGTCAACTAAATATGGCATTTGAGATTTTCAAGCTCAAATTGACTTGAGTCAGTTATCATTAAAAATTGATGTTGAGTCTCTAATTAATATCAAATTAAAGCTCAACAATAACTTCAGTAAACTTCACTTTGAGCTTGAATGGCATTCCCATTAGAGTTAAAAGGTAAACACCATAAGTTATTATTTAACTACTTAACGTAAAGTATATCTAAAATTATCTAAAAAATTAAATACTCATTTAGCACTGCGAGCATATCAAATTGAGTATGCTAACACTAGAACTCAACACTCAACTTGCTATTTGAGTATCAATTAGCTTAACTCAATTATTTAAGTATCTTGTGAGTCTAGTCCAAGTAGCTTGACTCATTCACACCCCTACCATTTAAAACTCAACCTCACTTCAGAAGACTCCTTAACAGCTTATTCCCTTTCATTATCCTCAAATTGTTCATGTTCTGTTCTTTCATATTGTTAGAGATGATCCAGGCCCAAGGCCCTTCAAGGTATACACCAGAAGAAACAAGGCTAAGATTGGCAAGTTGAGCAGTGGGGACCAGGAGAAATGACACGTAATAAATGTTAGTTACAAAAGAGCTGTACATTTATGGGAGCAAAGGGAATGAGGAGGCATCTTTGAGAATTTTGGTTTTGTGCAGCAGGGGTCTGCAACGGGCACAGCCTTGGGGCTGTTATAGCCATTTACTGTATTTCTTTCTTCTCCTTGTTTTATTTAGATCTTATTTATCTCTTTTTGAGTTCCATCGTTGAGGTTGTAAAGAATAATTCAATCAGATATCATCAGCACAATACAAGTCCCATTATTCCCATTTCCATTAAGTTGTCGGGTTAATTCCTCTGAATTTATAAGTTGTGTGATGCTTTATCTCTTCTCACGTTTCTGACTACACATATAAGTTCACTAATAATAATCTTTTTTTTTTTTTTTTTTTCCATTAAGTTGTCGGGTAATTCCTCCTGAATTTATAAGTTTGTGTGGATGCTACTCTATCTCTTCTCACGTTTTCTGACTACGACATTAATACAGCTTCACTAATGAATAATCTTTTTTTTTTTTTTTTTTTGAAGGACAATATTCTGCAACTCTGCAATAAAAATTCAAAATAACATCTAAAATTTCCCATTCAATGAATTTTTTAAGAATCTTTTTTTTTTTTTTTTTTGAAGAAAATATTCTGGAACTTGCAATAAAAATCAAAATAAACATCTAAATTTTCCCACTTGCAATGAATTTTTTAGCTAATTAACCATAGGCTGCTTGCTTTAATATTTACAAGATTATCATGATAGAATTTACCAGGTGATGGATCTACATTATGCATGAATCTGAAGGCAGCAAAACATGTTTGAAATACATACCAAATCCAAATTCCTGCTCAAGCCGAACGCCAATAACTAAGAGAGACAACATATTTGCCAGCAAATGAAAAACCCCTCCATGTAACCAATTGCAAGTGACAAGGCGCCATCCCTGGTGCCGATCAACCACTTTTTTCACATCTAAGGCCCCCATTTTCTGCAATCTAACCCAATAAACAACCGTTATATAACAATTTAAACTACAAAACAATATTATTTAAAAAAAAAAAAAAAAACTTACGTGGTCGAAGAAGGGCCAAGAAGCGGGTTCTCCTTGAAGGGCTGAAAGGAGAGCCTACCCAGAAAACGAGCAATACAAGAGACAGAATTTTTGGGACAATCATTAACATACATAGTAATAATGAACATAGCGATATTGGCAATTACAAAAGTAGGTATTATCCAAGGAACCCATTTCTTAAAATGCTTAACTTCAGTGTATATAACTGGACTTGGAGACGATAGCACTCGAGGTGTATCTACTTCTACTGGATGTACCACGTTGCTGTTTCCTCTCCTTGAATTGACCCCGATTTGGATCTCGGTTGATGGAGGAGGAGCAGGTTCATGCTTCCTCTCCATCGCTTAAGAAACAAAGGAGCTTTTCTTTAGGCTCAATCAGAAGAGAAAAATTTACAGAAGAAGAACAATGTGAATTGAGAGATGAAAATTTTGGTTGCAGTGACTTCAAATGATGGTGGTGGGTTAGGTTAGTCAACCGTTTTTCACCAACTGTACCGCTTGAATGACAGAGACACCGCAAGTTCAGACGGAAAATGCGTCACGGAACCATTTTTTTTCTTTCTTTTCCATGTCCTTTTATTTGTCAAACAATCGTAATTGGATTGCTTACCTACTCTTACTTCTTTTGGTTTTATAACGACCACGAAACCTTGAATCAGTATTGATTACCTTTGGGATAAATTATTATTTAATCCCATTTGTTTTACAAACATGTCAAAATGTCCCCTAAGTTTAGTTACATTAACAAAAAAAAATATGACTATAATTATTTGCTAAAAATCTGTAAACAGGATTATTAAATACATAAAAAAGACAACAATATCTCTTATAAATTTTATAATTATACAAAAAACTAGATTATATTAAAATTTTCTTTTATTACAATTTATACTATGTGTTATGTATTATCATTAAGATGGTGTTTTATTTCAAATTTTAATTCTAAACTTAATTTAATTTGGTCAAACAATAACAATTTTAAATGGAATAATGTTCAATTTTTTTTACAATTATTATCACATTAAACTTGCACCAAATGATCAAAAAGCTAAATCTTTGGCAGATATAAAATAAAATAATATTTTCCCGTTGCATGATTTGATAAAACACGCATATTAAGAATTTAGTCAATAAAAATTATTTTGCCTTTTTTACTCTTAATTAGTTAAGATATTAATAAAAGTTTTTCATTTAATGAAGGGTCATAAAAGTTATCACGAGAAAAATAATTGTTTATATATACAAATTTAGAAACCTTGTAAAATGATCAAAAAGCTCAATCTTTAGCATATATAAAATAAAATAATATTTTACTGTCTCATCTTGTTGCATGATTTGATAAAAACGCATATTAAGAATTTAGTCAATAAAAATTATTTTACCTTTTTTACCCTTAACTAGATATTAATAAAAGTCTTTCATTTAATAAATGATCATAAAGATTATCATGAGAAAAATAATCGTTTATACATATAAATTTAGAAACCTTATAAAATGACATTTTAAAACATCCAAAAAATGAGTAATAAGCAATCAAAATTGGACGGAAGAGTAATATTTAACATTTTTAATTAACAAAAACTAAGACAAAACATCTAAAAAAACTTTTAAAAATATTTAATATTTCTAAATAACAAATCTTATTATTTAACAATATTAAAATTTGTTTTTTTTTTTTTTTGGTAAAAAATTGAATCTTTTGGTCATTTGATGCAATTTCTCAACAGAGATAAATTTTGTTAGCTTTTAACCAGATTTATGATTTGTCCATACACAAGCATCATTGGTAATTTAATTATTCGTCAATGTCATTGTCTAACCATTGTTATCCCCGTCGCACTTGTGCATTATATATTTTGAACGCAGCGATCAGGTTAAAGGTTGGACAACTAATTGGAATTCAGCTTTTGTTTTGAGTATTTGGATGGTTAACGCTGGCAAACTACAACTAGGAATGTTTCAAGCCTGAGATTATATTTCTGTTCCTTCTTTCATTATTTTTTTTAATAATTTTAGAGTTTTGTTGATTTTGCTAACATGTGCAATTCTCTGTTATCATGGTTCGGTTTTAAATTGAAATTGAATCTAAATTAAATAGTTAAAATTGGCACTGAATTATGGTCAATGTTTCTTAGCTCCAAACTGTAACTGAAATGATGTACTTAAGGTTTGATTTATGTTTTTCATTTTTTTAAACCAAAATGGATGGTTCTAGGTTAAAATTGGAAATTCCCGTTGAAATCATGAAAAATATATTTTTAAAGAAATTTTCAATTTATTTTTTTATTATAATTTTTTAAAATAAATTTTAAGAATTAGTTTAGTGTTTTTCAGTAATTATTATTATTATTATTATTATTATTATTATTGTTATTATTATTATTATTATTATTATTATTCAAGCTATAAATCTAAAAAAAAATTTAAAATTTGAAATAAATTATCTAATTTTGATTCAAACTAGAATAAAATCAAAATCGACGGTTCTAAAACCATTTTAGAAACTGCCAAAAAGCGATTCAATTTCGATTCCACTTTTTTTATAATTAGAATTGGCAATTTAAAATCGAAACCGACAATTTTGAAACTGTAGTCATGCCTAATCTATGATAGTCAAAATTCTAATTTATAAATCATTAATGAAAAAATATAATTAAAAAATTATAACACTTTTCGAATAGAATTACTAATCACTCCAACCTATCTATTGTATTTTTTTAATACTGTTTTGGGATTCATTATCATAAATTCTAACAGTTTATATATTTCTATAATAAAATATGCAATGTATTAAGTATAAGTTTCATCATACTTAATATGATAAAAAAATTAAAATTTTAAAATATTATGTTCTAATACTTTTAGATTTATTAAATTCAATAAGTCCTAAATTAAAATTAAACCTGGTATTTGTAGTATAATGATACGTATATTGTTATTAAAATAAATTAAATAATAGATAAATTAATTTTGAGTTTAAAAAAAGTTGAATAATATGTTTGGTTAACTCGAAAATCACACTAATTAATTTTGAAGCTCATCAAAGTAATTATAAAATTATCAAATTCAAATTATTAAGTGGAAAAAAGATTATATAAGAGCAATATGAATATTTAAAGATGGAGACAAATTCGAATAATTAAGTTATACCAAAAAAATTATAAAAAATTATATAAGAGCAATATGATATTGATATCCCTTTAAGCTTTATCTTATTATATTCTGAAATGACGTCTTCAAACTTTTCAATATTTTGGGCAAGAGTTTTCTAATTTTCTTCAATGGCTTGTATATATATTCTTCCTTTAAGCATAGGCTTCTAATTTCTCGAAGGAATTTTTTTTAATATAATATATTAGAAATTTATTAAAAACTTAAAATTAATACAAATAATTAAGGGAGGAGGTGACCCTCTCATGAACATCAAACATAGAACAAAAATATTATAACTAAAATAATTATTGTTTGCTAATTTAATAAGAAATTTTAACGAATTTTGAAAAGTGTACTTGAAAAAAATTAACAGATCTTCAAAATTGTATATTTCTCCAAGGAATTTATATATTTGATTTTAAACTTTATGCATGAAACAACCAGAAATTCATTTTCAAAATTTTTTCATTTAAAAATTTAATTATAAATTTTAACTAATGATATTATAGAACATATTATGGTTAAAATAAACAAATCAATACCGGGTGGTGAATTTATTTAACAAAATTTAATGGCCGAATATATAAATTGTCCATTAAATTTTCACCAAAAAATCTTATGATATACTCTATTTTCAAAGTCACCTTGTGCCACCTTAAACTTATAAAATTGCTAACATTCGTTATTGCAGTCAACAACGCATGTGAGGTCAAATTCTCTCTTTACGCGTGAATCTATAAAAGACCAGGTGAAAGCCCAAGCATTATTCAAGTTATTTAATTACTTTATTAACATTTTTTATTTTAAAGAGGTTGTTTTTTTATTCCACATGTAAGATAAATATTTATATAAAAAATAAATCATACAACTTCAGAGAAATAAAAATAAGCAAATAAAAATATTATAAAAGATATATATATGAACTAAAATAGAGAAAACATATTATATATATAGATATATATAGAATTTATTTTCAAGTCTAATTTATATTTACTTTATAAAACATTTTTTATTTTAAGAGGTTGTTTTTTTATTTCACATGTAAAGATAAATATTTATATAAAAAATAACATACAACTTCAGAGGAATAAACATCAAGGCAAAGAAAATAATTATAAAAGTATAATATATGAACTAAATAGAGAAACATATAATATATATATAGATTAATAATAGTAAGCAAATAAAAATATTATAAAAGATATATATATGAACTAAAATAGAGAAAACATATTATATATATAGATATATATAGAATCTTTGCAAATAAGCATAAAGAGAATAATGGACAAAAAAATTAAATAGTCGAATCTAAAACTAAAAAAAAAAAATTTAAATATTAATATAGATAATTATTTTAAATAAGTACTAATTTTTAAATTTAAAAAATATCTTAAATGATCCAACAAAAATTTTTAAAATTGAATATAGATCGATATATGTAATAATCGTAAATGAATGTTATTTTTAAAATATAATCATTATATATAATTTTCTAATATTTAGATAATAAAATTAACATTTAAATGATAAAAATATTAGGTATTTCATCTTTTTAATTTATTAAACGTATTTATTTTTTAATTTATCAGATATTATCTTATTGGTTCCTTTGCTATTTTAAATGTATTTATTAAATATAATATTTAGATTTCTCTTTAATGGTCATCATTCTTTCTCTGTCAAGCTTAATACCAAAAATTACCTTGCTTGAAAAATCAAATTTTTACCTATTCTTAATTATCAAGATTTACATGGTTCCATTGATGCACAATATCTGCACCTCAAAAACCGTTGCTTTCACTTTTGATCCTAATCAATTGATTCCAAGCCCTGATTATCAAGTTTGGTTTAAAAAAGACCAAATGCTTCTCTCTTGGATTTTATTCTCCTTGACTGGAAATTTTTCCATATATTGTTGGTCATACCTCATCCTATTCAGTTTGACAGCACTTGCTAGTGCCTTTGGAGCTGTCTCAGAAAATAAACAATTACAGTTAAATATAGAGTTGCAAGAGCTCAAGAATAATGACCTCTCAGTTTCATAATATCTTTACAAAGCAAAAACATTAAATGATGAGCTACGTGTCGCTGGTCGTATCTTGACCACAGCAGAATTCAATGTCATAATTTATTGCAATATTAGAAGTGAGTACCATGGAATAATCACAACATTGAATCTTTGTCCTGAGCTTATTCCATTTCATGAACTCTGTGGACATTTAATTACACATGAAGTCTTGATCAAGGAAGCCAATTTTTTACCTATTGCAAATTTGAGCATGGAGCAATTTGTTCCAAATCAACAGCCCACTGCTTCTACTCTGCAACACCATAACCAGCAACAATTTCAATTTTCTAGTCGTTCTTAATTCTCTCAACAATGATCATGTGGACCATGTCAAATTCGTGGTCTACAAAATCACACAGCAGACCAGTGTAGAA